TACAGACCAATATCTCTCATGGGGAGCCCTGATGGCCCAGTGGTTAAGAGCGTGGCTGCTAACCAAAAGATCTGCAGTTTGAATCCACTAGCCTCTCTTTGGAAACCCTATGGGGCAGTTCTACTCAGTCCTATAGGGTTGCTATGAGTCGGAATTAACTTGACGGCAACGGGTTTTTTATCTCTCATGAATATAGACTCAAAATTCTCAACAAAATTCTAGCCAGTAGAATTCAGTGTCATATCAAAAAAATAATCCCATGAGAAAATGGGATTCATACCATTTATGCAAGGATGGTTCAACATTAGAAAATCAATCAACATAATCCATCACATAAATAAAACAAAAGAAAATAATCACATGATCATCTCAATCAATGCAGAAAAGATACTTGATAAAATCCACCCCCATTCCTGATAAAAACTCTAGATAAGATAGGAATAGAAGGGAAATTCCTCAACATAATAAAGGGCATCTATACAAAACCAATAGCCAACATCATTCTCAGTGATGAGAGGCTGAAAACATTCCTCCTGAGAAGGGAAACAAGACAAGGATGCTTTTTATCACCACTCCTGTTTAACATTGTGCTGGAAGTCCTAGCTAAAGCAATAGGCAAGAAAAAGAAATAAAGAACATCCAAATTGGTAAGGAAGAAGTAAAACTATCCCTATTTGTGGATGATATGATACCATACATAGAGAACCCTAAAGACGCCACAAGAAAACTACTAGAACTAATAGAAAGATTCAGCAGAGTAGTGGGAAACAAGATCAACATAAAAAAAAAAAATGGATTCCTACACACCAATAAGAGAACTACAAAAAAGAAATGAGGAAAGCAATACCGTTTATAATAGCCTGTAAAAAAATAAAATACTTAGGAATAAATATAACCAGGGACATAAAAGATCTATACAAAGAAAACTACAAAACACTACTGCAAGAAACCAAAAGAGACCTACATAAATGGAAAAACATACCATGCTCATGGATAGGCAGACTCAACATTGTGAAAATGTCAATTCTACCCCAAGTAATCTACAAATACAATGCAATACTGATCCAAATACCAACAGCATTCTTTAAAGAGATGGAAAACTAATCATTAACTTTATATGGAAAGGGAAGAGGCCCCGGATAAGTAAAGTATTATTGAAGAACAAGAACAAAGCAGGAGGCCTCATACTACCTGACCTCAGAACCTACTATACAGCCACTGTAGTCAAAATAGCCTAGTACTGGTACAATGACACACACATTGACCAATGGAACAGAATCAAGAATCCAGATGTAAATACATCTATCCACTGCCACCTGATCTTTGACAAAGGCTCAAAGTCCATTAAATGGGGGAAAAGGCAGTCTTTTTAACAAATGGTGCTGGCAAAACTAGATGTCCATCTGTAAAAAAAAAAATGAAGCAAGACCCATACCTTGCACCATACACAAAAACTAATTCAGAATGAATCAAAGACCTAAATATAAAACCAAAAACTATAAAGATCATGAAAAGAAATAAATAAATAAGGTCAATGCTAGGGCCCTAATATATAGGATAAAAACATAATTAACAATACACAAACACCAGAAGACAAGCTAGACAAATGGAATCTTCTAAAAATGAAACATGCTCATCAAAAGACTTTACCAATAGTAAAAAGATAACCTACAGACTGGGAAAAATTTTTTAGCTATGACATATCTGACAGAGGTCTAATCTCTAAAATCTATAGGAAAACCTAACACCTCTACAATAAAAGACAAATAATCCAATTAAAAAATGGGCATAGGATATTAACAGACATTTCACCAAAGAAGACATTCAGGTGGCTAACAGACACATAAGGAAATGCTTGCAATCACTACCTGTGTGTCAACTTGGCTGGGCCATGATTCTCAGTGATTTGGCAGTTATGATGTAGTTTGGCAGTCGTATGATGATGTGATCACTTCCATGACAAGATTTTGTATAATGTAATCACCTGCATGATGGGATCTGCTGTGAGTAGCCAATCAGTTGAAGGGGTGTTTCCTTTGGGCTGTGGCATACATCCAATATAGGTGGACTCTCTGGAAGGTTCATGGGCTTTTGCTCACTCTGGATCCTGCAGTTGGCGCCTGTTCGTCTGACCTCCCATTCTTGGGACTCAAGCTAGGAGCTTACCTGCTGTCTTGCCTGCCTATTTTGGGATTCGTTAGAAAATCAATCAACATAATCCATCACATAAATAAAACAAAAGAAAATAATCACATGATCATCTCAATCAATGCAGAAAAGATACTTGATAAAGTCCAACACCCATTCCTGATAAAAACTCTAGATAAGATAGGAATAGAAGGGAAATTCTAATTCTATTCCTGTGAGCAAGAGCCCTGCTATCTGACCTGCCGATCTTGGGTTCACCAGCCCCTGTGGCTACCTGAATCAGAAGATGCCTCTAGCCTGACCCATGGATTTGGGACATTCCAGCCTCTACAACTGCATGGGCCATTTCCTTGATATAAGTCTCTCTGTATAGATATTTGTATGTTTTACTGGTTTTGCTTCTCTAGAGAACTCAGCCCTAAGACACTAGCCATTAGAGAAATCCACAGCAAAACTACAATGGGATAGCATCTCACCCTGACATTACTGGCACTAGTCAAAAAAACAGAAAATAGCAAATGTTGGAGAGGTTGCAAGGAGTTTGGAACTCTTATGTACTGCTGGTGGGAATGCAAAATGGTACAACCACTTTGGAAAATGACATGGCGCTCCCTTAAAAAGCTAGAAATAGAAATACCATACGATCCAGCTATCCCGCTTCTAGGAATATATCCTAGAGAAATAAGAGTCATCACACAAATAGGCACATGCACACCCATGTTCATTGCAGCATTATTCATAATAGCAAAAAGATGGAAATAACCTAAGTGCCCATCAACAGCTTAATGGATAAACAAACTATGGTACATACACACAATGGAATACTGCTCAAAGATAAAGAACAATGATGAATTTGCAAAACATCTCACAACATGGATGACTCTGGAGGGCATTATGCTGAGTGAAAAAATTAATCACAAAAGAACAAATACTGTATGAGACCACTATTATAAAAACTCATGAAAACGTTTACACACAGAAAGAAACAATCTTTGATGGTTACAAAGGAGGAGCCTGATGGAGAGGGAAAAACACTAACTACGTGGTAGATGAGTGGTAACTTTGGTGAAGGGTAAGACAGTACACGATACTGGGCAAGTCAGCACAGCTTGCCCAGGGCAAAATCAAAGAAGCTTCACAGACACATTTAAACTCCCTGAAAGACCAACCTACTGGGCTGAGGGCTGGGGACGTGGTCTTAGGAGACATCTAGCTCAATGGGTAAAATATAGTCTATAAAGAAAATGTCCTACATCCAACTGTGGTGAGTAGCTACTGGGGTCTTAAAAGCCTCAGAGTGGCCATCAAGGATACATCTATTGATCCCATTCCAGCCGGAGCAAAGGAGAATGAAGAAAACCAAAGACACAAGGGAAAGATTAGTCCAAAGACTAATGGACCACAACTACCACAACTTCCACCAGACTGAGCCCAGAACAACTAGATGGTGCCTGGTTAGTAATAGAGGATGCCAGACAGAGCGGAAGAAAAAAATGCTAGTAAGACTTCAGTAATTCATTTAAAGGAATCTATACTATATTAGTAGTGTCCTGGTGGCGCAGTGGCTAAGCATCTGACTACTAACCAAAAAGTCAGCAGTTCAAATCCACCAGCCGCTCCTTGGAAACCCTATTGGGCAGTTCTACTCCGTCCTATAGAGTTGTTATGAGACGGAATCAACTAGACAGCAGTAGTTTGGTTATACTGTATTAATCACATCAGTATCTACATACATATAATCAGATTTTACATCAGATTATAGCAATATCTGTATGTAGGCAAAACATGTTTTCTTTCTCTGGACAATACCCGGTACACATAAGGATTCAGAGACAGTTGCCAAAAACTTTGCGTCCACATTCCCCACTCCTTGGGGGCTCAAGCCTCACAGGTTAGGTGCTGCTGGTCTAGTTAATGTTAATGCTAAACTGTTCGTCGTGACAGCAATTAGCAACAGGTTCAGCTTTTTCTCTCATTGGGTTGGTATATGAGGCTGGGTTCTCTAGCTGAATTTAAAGAAGGTCGTCTTAAAATCACACTCAAGCCTTAAAAATAACACATACTACATTCTACAACTCCTTATAGTAAAAGATACTTTCTCTGTTATATAATTAATTTCTCACAGAAAATTTGCCTCACTAAGGCAAATTTCATTTTGCCTATTTTACAAAAGAAGAGACTGAGATTTAGCAACATTCAATGACTTGAACTAGGCCCCTGAATGCATGCGTGCCAATCCCAGGCTAGAACCTAAGTCCTCTCATTTCAGGGAGTGGTCTTTATCCTGCCATGATACTAGGAAGTCATTTTATCGAGCTTTTCAATATCAGAGGAAACTTTAGAAGTCAACTTACAAATAAAAAACCTGAAACCCAAAGAGTTTCAATGACTTTGCCAAGTTTACCCAGCTGGTTATAAGATGTCCAAACCTGTCTCTGAGCCACATCACCACATCTCTCATAAAAATAATTGATCTGCTTGGGGTGATGAAAATCTTTTGCAATTGGATAGTGGTGATGTGATAGTTGCACAATATGCATTAAATAGGCAAGGGCCCAAACATGCTTAGTCATGTTAGGCTCTCAATAAAATTTATTGATTTTTAAAATAATATTTTATTATGTTTTTGCTGAAAGTTTACACAGTAAATTAGGTTCCCATTTTACAGTTTTTATACAAATTATTCAGTGACATTAGTTACATTTTTCACAATGTGTCAACATTCTCTTTAATTGTGTTCTGGTTGTCCTGTTTCCAGTACTCTAGTTTCCCTGCTCCCTTATCTTCTTATCTTTGCTTTAGAGTAAATGTTGACCTTTTGGTCTCATATAGACAGTTTTTTAGTAGAGCACCGTACTTATGGGTAATATCCTTTATTTTGTGTGCCACTTTGTTGTTTCACTGAAAGGTGATCTCAGGGGATATTTTGGTTCAAGGTTTAAAGAGTATCTCAGGGCGACAGTCTTAGGAGGTACTCTGGTCTCAAATGGTCCAGTTAGCCTGAACTTTTTTAATAATTTGAGTTTTGTTCTACATTTTTCTCCCATTTTATCTAGAGCCATCTATTGTGATCCCGGTCAAAATAGGTCCGTAGTGGTAGCCATGCATCATGTAGTTCTTCTGGTCTCAGGATAGACGAGGCCGTGGCTTGTGTAGGCTATTAGCCTTGTAGACTTGTTTCTTCTCTGAAACTTTGGTTTCCTTCTTACGCTTTTGTTCCTGACAAGTAGAGACCAATAGTTGTATCTTAGATGGCCGCTCACAAGCTTTTAAGACTCTGGACACTACTCACTTCATTAGGACGAAGAACATGAACTTTGAGAACTGTATTATGCCAATTGACTGAGTTGTCTGCCCATTTGATTTTATAAACAGTATTAATGACACCAGTTTTGAATATGTCTGACTGTGAATTGGCTCATTTAACCCTCACAACATCTGCTGAGGTAGATGCTCTTATTGCAATTGGAACTAATTCCTTAATTATGTAATCTTTGTTTAGTATCCATGTCCTGTGGCAATAAACTTCATGAGAGCAGGGAGCATGTCTGTCCTGTTTATCCTTGTATTCCTAGTACCTAGGACAGTGCTAGGTATGTGATAAACATGCAAAATGTATTTGTTGAGTGAATTTTTCATCCTCCTTTTACAAGTGAGGACACCAAACTTAGAGATGTTAAATACCTTGGCCAGGGTCACCAACTAATCCAAATTCACATCCGTTGGACCTCACCTTCTTACTAGCTCCCAAATAGTCTAAGGTGTTTATTAGGATCATGTAGCTCGGTAAAGTTCCTAGCTATTGAAAGATTAATTAACACCTTTCAAAAGATCTTTGTTTTTAATAATTTTAAGAACACAAAGCAGAATTCAGAGATGAGCAGTAGTAAAATGGTTGTGTTTAAACATGCCATATTTCATAAAGATATTACATTGAGAAATTCACACCTGGCATTTGAGACCAAAAGCTGGCATAGAAAGTGACGGAAGTATTATAAGGAATTCGCCCAGCCAAATCTTCCTAAGCTTATTACCAATAAAGAGGATATTTTCTTTAAAATAAAGATCATGATGGTTTTATAGACCTTTCTCCTCAACTGAAATCTTTGGTGGGGGGGCTCCAGTTTTCTTAGACCACCTGGTATTCATCATTCTTACCTGGTTTGCTTAAAATAGCTGGCCAAGCTTCTGAGTCCTGATTCTGGTCCCTTCACCACTCCCAGCTCTGGCCTGAGCATAAGTTCCCTGATAAATACACAGTACTCCAAGTCCTGCAGAAGAAGCATGAAAAAAATAAGATTACCATGTCCTATAGGAAGAATACTGAAGTAAATTGGCAAGCTACCTGTGGTGAGAGATGCAATGTAAAGTCTCTGGGAAAGGGCTCTTACTCATGTAGTCATTGGCAGGATTCAGTTCCTCATGGGTTGTTTAACCAAGGGCCTCAGTTTCTTGCTGGCTATTGACTGGAGGTCTCCCTTAGTTCCTTGCTACATAGCCTCTCCATAGGACAGCTACAATTTGGCAGCTGTTTTCCCTCAGAGTAAGCAAGTGAGAGAGAATAAGAAAGGGCAAGATGAAAGCTAGAGTCTTTTTTAAAATTTAATTTAATTTTATTGTTGCACTTTAAGTGAAAGTTTACAATTCAAGTTAGTCTCTCATACAAAAATTTATACATACATTGTTATGTGACCCGAATTTTTCTCCCTGTACTGTGATAGCACATTCCTCCTTTCCACCCCTGATTTCCCATGTCCATTCAACCAGCTCCTGACCCTGTCTGCCTTCTCATCTCACCTCTGGACAGGAGCTGCCCATTTAGTCCCATGTATCTACCTAAGCTAGGAAGCACACTCTTCATGAATATCATTTTATGTCCCGTAGTCCAGTCTAATCTTTGACTGAAGAGTTGGCCTCGGCAACAGTTTTAGTGCTGGGTTGACAGAGAGTCCGGGGGCCATGATTTCTGGGGCTCCTTCAGTCTCAGTCAGACCAGTAAGTCTGGTCTTTTCACTAGAATTTGAGTTCTGCACCCCACTTTTCTCCTGCTCCAACAGGGACTCTCTGTTGTGTTCCCTGTCAGGGCGGTCATTGGTGGAAACGGGCACCATCTAATTCTTCTGGTCTCAGGCTGTTGCAGTCCCTGGTTTATGTGGCCCTCTCTGTCTCTTGGGCTAATGTGAAAGCTAGTCTTTTTGAAACCTAATCTCAGAAGCGACATCCCAACATTCTATTCATTAAAAGCAAGTCACTAGGTCCACTCAAGAGGAGGGATTATATAAGAGCATGGACACCAGAAGTTGGGGATCTTTGGGAATCATCATAGAAACTGCCTACCACAGTTGCCCTCTGGCCCCCAATCATTCATGTCCCCTCCCACATGCAAAGTACATTCACTCACTTCCAAGGTCCCCAAAAGTCTTATCCCATTATAACATTAATTCAAAATCCAGGATCTCATCAATTAAATCAGGTCCAGGTATGGATCAGGCTCTTCAGGTATCTCTCCTTAAGTAAACTTCCTCTCAATCTGTGGGTCTGTGAAATGACATGTTCTCTGCCTACCTCCCCTTCGCCCCTCCCCCGCATCAATACGCACAATGATGGAATAGGTGTAGGATAAATGTTATAGACATTCTTTTTCAAAAGGGGGGAAAATGGGAACCACAAAGGAGTAGCTGATCCATTGAAATTCTGAAATACAGCCAGGCAAATGTTGGAAGTTCCTTGATTAGATTTTAAGGCCTGGGAATAATTCTCCATGACTCTTGACTCTGCCCTCTGAATCATTCTTTTTCATGAAAGGTAGCACATGGTGTTTGCACGTAAGTAGTTTTCTCAGACTTCTTCCTGCCAGTAGAATTTCAGGGGGCTCTGAAGTTTTGTTTTTCAAATTTTGTACTGTTTCTATCCCTTTCCACTCAAGTTGGCAATGTTTTTGCTGATACAATTCTCAAAAAAGACTTTGTATGCCATTTCTTAATTTTAGCATCTTTGCCTCTGGAGAGGCTGAGAATTTTTAAAATCATGAAGTCCTGGCTCCTTTTTGTTTAACAGTCCTTCCCTCAATTTATCTTTCTCCTCTTGCATTTTACTATCAGCAGCAAGAAGAAACCAGGCATCACCCTCAACACTTTGCTTGTAAATGTCCGTAGTTAAAGCTGCCTACAACAGTCCATTCCTTTTCACTCCCACTGCTACTACTGTCTCTATATGAGCAGTTCTCAATTTTTTTGGTCTCAAGACCCTTTTACGCTCTTAAAATTATTGAGGACCCCAAAGAGTTTTGTTTATGTGGGTTATATCTACCAGCATTTATTGTACTAGAAATTAAAGATGAGGAATTTAAAATGTTTATCAATTCATTAAAAAAAAAAAAAACTACACCCATTACAAGTTAACCTCAGAGTGATGATGCCATCACACATCATATAGCCTCTGGAAAACTCCACTGTACACTCAGGAGAGAATGAGAGTAAAGAAGGCAAGTAATAGTATTATTACGAAAATAGTTTTAAACTCACGGACTCCCTGGAAGGGTCTTGGGGACTGCTGGAGTCCCTGAATGATACTTTAATAACTGCTGTCTAGATAAATCTTCTCAAAGCACAGGCTCCTCATTCCCTTGGAATCAAGTTCATCCCCTTGCCCTTTCACACTTCTGCTTCCTCCTTATCATTCCATTCACCCCTTAAATTCACCTGCTTGAGCCCTCCAGCCTAGTAGTTTTCTTGCACACCCTGGTAGCCATTCCCATGCTGCCTTGTGCCTTTGTTGTCCTCTCCACCTCATCCCCCCTGTCTTAGGCTGGGTTCTCTAGAGAAGCAAAACCAATGAAGTATATAAATATATATAGAGATTTATATCAAGAAAATGGCTTACATGGTTGTAGAAACTGTAAAGTCCCAAGTCCGAGGATCAGGCTGCAGGCTTCTCCTTACTCACATAGCCACAGGGGCTGGTGAATCCAAGATTGGCAAGTCAGACGCAGGTCTCTGGCTGACAGGCTGCAGAAGCTGACGAATCCTAAGATCAGCAGGTAAGATGGCAGGTAAGCTGCTAGCTCAACTCTCAAGAACTGGAGGTCAGATGAACAGGAGCCAGCTGCAGGATCCAGAGTGAGCAAAAGCCAGTGAGCCTTGCCAGAAAGTCCACCTATATTGAATGCAGGCCACACCCCCAAGGAAAATCCCTTTCAACTAATTAGCTGCTCATAACAGATCTCATCATGGAAGTGATTACGCTATATCAGGTATCATTATAGAGGTGATTACATCATTACATAGCTGCCAAACTACATCATAACTGCCAAATCACTGAGAATCATGGCCCAGCCAAGTTGACCCATAACCTTTACCATCACACCTCCCAGAGCATTTCCCTTGTGTGGCATGTCCTCCTCCCTACTCAACTACCCCTGGCTCACTGATCATTCTCACCATTAGACTCCTGAGACACTATTCTCAGACAGTCAACACTCAGCTACATTGCACTATTGCTCTTTTTGGTAGGTGCTGTCTTCTGCATGACCAGATGAGCCTGGAATCAGGAGGCAGCTTGGATTCAAGCCCTGACTCTGTGCCTCACTGTAGTTGTTGTTGTTAGGTGTCATCAAGTTGGTTACAACTCATAGGGACCCTATGTACAACAGAATGAAACACTGCCGGGTCCTATGCCATCCTCACAGTCATTGCTATATTTGAGCCCATTGTTGCAGCCACTGTGTCAGTCCATCACATTGAGGGTCTTCCTCTTTTTCAATGACCCTCCACTCTACCAAACATGATGTCCTTCTCCAGGGACTGGTCCCTCCTGATAACATGTCCAAAGTACATGAGATGAAGTCTCACCATCCTCGCTTCTAAGGAGCATTCTGTCTGTGCTTCTTCCAAGACAGATTTGTTCACTCTTCTGGCAGTCCATGGTATATTTAATATTCTTCACCAATGCCATAATTCAAAGGCATCAATTCTTATTCATTGTCCAGCTGTTGCATGCATATGAGGCAACTGAAAATACCATGGCTTGAGTCAGATGCACCTTAGTCCTCAAGGTGACATCTTTGCTTTTTAACACTTTAAAGAGGTCTTTTGCAGCAGATTTGCCCAATGCACTACGTGTTTGATTTCTTGACTGCTGCTTCCATGGGCATTGATTGTGGATCCAAGTAAAATGAAATCCTTTACAACATCAGTATTTTCTCTGTTTATCATGATGTTGCTTATTGGTCCAGTTGTGAGAAATTTTGTTTTCTTTATGTTAAGGTGTAATCTATACTAAAGGCTGTAGTCTTTGATCTTCATCAGTAAGTACTTCAAGTCCTCTTCACTTTCAGCAAAGTTGTGTCCTCTTGCATATTGCAGGTTGTTAATGAGTCTTTCAGCAATCCTGATTCCACGTTCTTCTTCATATAATCCAGCTTCTAGGATCATTTGCTTAGCATACCAGATTGAATAAGTATGGTGAAAGGATACAACCCTGATACACACCTTTCCTGATTTTAAACAACGCAATATTCCCTTGTTCTGTTCTAACAACTGCCTCTTGGTCTACGTACAGGTTCTGCATGAGCACAGTTAAGGGTTCTGGAATTCCCATTCTTTGCAGTGTTATCCATAATTTGTTGTGATCCAGACGGTCAAATGCCTTTGCATAGTCAAAAACAACTCAGGTAAACATCTTTCTGGTATTCTCGGCTTTCAGCCAAGATTCATCTGACATCAGCAATGATATTGTAAAAATGACGTGGGAGCAGTGTATGACCTCCTCTAACTTCACAAGGGGGAAGGAGAATCAAGATCAATAGCCCAAGCCTGATTGCTATGAGGCAGGAGTCAAACATGCCTCCTCTCTCCTCCATGTTTACCAATTTTGACACCAACCATCCCCCCCCCGCCCCACGGCACTCTCTACTTCTCTGCTAGGTTCAATAATTCATTGAAATGGCCACGCATAACTCACAGACAATACTCACGATTATAAGGTTTATTAGGGGAGTAACAGGTTACAATTCAGGCTCAGGAACACTCAAGGATACAGTTCTTCCATCAGGACAGCCTCTTACCAGCTGTGCTCGCAGGTATGCCTCTCCCTGGCCCTAGGCCTCTGCCCAAAGGCACTCAGCTTTTTCTGTCTGTGGGCTGGGAAGCCCACTGTGCTGTCTCCTGTTGCCTGGTCTCTCCTGCTGGGTTTCTCCTGCCAGGTCTCTCCTTTGACTGCTTCTCACCATCTTCAGGGTTATAGCTCTTTCTCTCTCTTTCTCTCTCTCTCTCTCATTCTCTCTCTCTCTCTCGCTCTCTTTCTCTCTCTCTCGGTCTCCTGCATCCAGGAGCTTCTCAGCACAGGGATCCTGGGTCCTAAGGACATGCTGGCTCCTGGCTGTTCTTCCCTGGTAGTGGTGGGATTCTCTCTTTCCCGCCTCTGGGGTGGCTTGTTTCAAGCACAGCAGGATGGCAAAACTGACCAATCCCCTTGGTGGGCCACAATTACCCTATCACACAGTCCCGCCCAATCACTTGAGTGGGAGTTACAAGACCATGGCTAGAAAGGCCACACAAAAAGTGTACCATTGCACCGCAGATATTCCTCATTCCACATCCTCTTCTGAATCTGGCTTGAATTTCTGGCAGTTCCCTGTCGATGTACTGCTGCAACCGTTTTTGAATTATCTTCAGCATAATTTTATTTGCATGTGATATTAATGATATTGTTCGATAATTTCTGTATTCCCTTGGATCACCTTTCTTTGCAATAGGCACATATATGGATCTCTTCCAGTTGGTTGGCCAGGTAGCTGTGTTCTAAATTTCTTGGCATAGACATGTGAACACTTCCAGAATTGCATCTGTTTGTTGAAACATCTCAATTGGTGTTTCATCAGTTCCTGTAAAACTGTTTTTCACCAATGCCTTCAGGGCGGCTTGAACTTCTTCCTTTGGTACTATTGGTTCTTGATTGCGTTACCTCCTGAAATGGTTGAACGTTGACCAATTCTTTTCAGTACAGTGACTCTGTGTTCCTTCTATCTTCTTTTGATGCTTCCTGTGTTGTTCAATTTTTTGCCCATAGAATCCTTATATATGTATATATATATATATATATTTTGCTTTAGATGAAGGTTTATAGAACAAATTAGTTTCTCATTAAACAATTACTACACATATTGTTTTGTGACATTAGTTGCTGTCTTAGTCATCTAGTGCTACTCTAACAGAAATACCACAAGTGGATGGTTTTAACAAAGAGACATTTATTCTCTCACAGTCCAGTAGGCTACAAGTCCAAATTCAGGGCATCAGCTCCAGGGGAATGCTTTCTCCATTGGCTCTGGAGGAAGGTTCATGTCATCAATCTTCTTTTGGTCTCTGAGCTTCTCTGCGCAGGAACCTCAGGTCCAAAGGACGTGCTCTGCTCCTGGCCCTGCCTTCTTGGTGGTATGAGGTTCCTATGTGTCTCTGCTTGCTTCTCTCTTTTATATATCAAAATAGATTACATTAAGACACTACCTAATCTTGTCAACCTCATCAGTATAACCTGATCACAGTGATAGAATTTACAACACATAAGGAGATCACATATAATCTCATCATAGTGGTAGAGTTTACAACACATAAGGAAATCACATCAGATAACACAATCGTACAATACTGGGAATCATGACCCAGCCAAGTTGCTACACACATTTTCTGGGGGACACAATTCAATCCATGACAGTTGCCAACCCTGTGACATGTCAACACTCTCCCCTTCTTAACCATGGGGTTCCCATTTCCATTTGTCCAGCTTTCCTGTCCCCTCCTACCTTCTCGTCCTTGCCGTTGGTCTGGTGTACTCATTTCGTCTCATATATATGGTTGGCTACATTTATTATTGTTTGTTTTATGGGCCTGTCTAATCTTTGCCTGAAGGGTGAACCTCAGGAGTGACTTCAGTACTGAGTTAAAAGGTCCTCCAGGGAGAATCCTTCACCATTGCAACTCGAGGCTTGAATTTTTTCTTCAGTTCTTCCAACTTGAGAAATGCAAAGCGTGTTCTTTTGGTTTTCTATCTTCAGGTCTTTGCACATTTCATTACAGTACTTTACTTTGTCTTCTCGAGCCGCCCTTTGAAATTTTCTGTTCAGCTCTTTTAGTTCATCATTTCTTCCTTTTGCTTTAGCTACTTCACATTCAAGAGCAAGTTTCAGATTCTCTTCCGACATTCTTTTTTTTTTTTTTTTTCATTTCTGTCTTTTTAAGAACCTTTTGCTTTCTTCATGTATGATGTCCTTGGTTTTATTCCACAGCTTGTCTGGTCTTTGGTCATTAGTGTTCAATGCATCAAATCTGTTATTGAGATGGTCTCTAAATTCAGATGGGATATAATCAAGGTTGTACTTTGCTCTCATGGACTGTTTTAATTTTCTTCAGCTTCAACTTGAATTTTCATATAAGCAACTGATGGTCTGTTCTGCAGTCAGCCCCTGGCCTTGTTCTGACTGATGATATTGAGCTTTTCCATCGTCTCTTTACACAAATGTAGTCAATTTGATTCCTGTGTATTTTATCCAGCAAGGTCCATGTTTATAGTGGCTGTTGTTGAAAAAAAGTATTTCCAGTGAATAAGTCATTGGTCTTGCAAAATTCTATTATGCAATCTCCTGCGTCATTTCTATCAACAAGGCCATACTTTTCCACTACTGATCCTTCTTCTTTTTTTTCCAACTTTTGCATTTCAATCACCAGTAATTATCAATGCATCTTGATTGCATGTTTGATCAATTTCAGACTGCAGAAGTTGGTAAAAACCTTCATTTTCTTCATCTTTAGCAATAGTGATTGGTGCATAAATTTGAATAGTAGTCATATTAACTGGTCTTCTTTGTAGGCATATGGATATTTTCCTATCACTGATAGCATTGTATTTCTGGGTAGATCTTGAAATGTTCTTTTGACGATGAATATGGTGCCATTCCTCTTTAGTTTGTCATTCCTGGCACAGTAGACCATATGATTGCCCGATTCAAAATGATAAATACTAGTCCATTTCAGCTCACTAATGCCTAGAATACTGATCTTCAAGTGTTCCATTTCATTTTTGACAACTTCCAATTTTCTTTGATTCATACTATGTGCATTCCACATTCCAATTATTGATGGATGTTGCAGCTATTTCTTCTCATTTTGAGTCGTGCCACGTTAGCAAATGAAGGTCCCAAAAGCTTTACTCCATTCATGTCATTAAAGTCTACTCTACTTTGAGGAGGTAGCTCTTCCCTAGTTATATTTTGAATGCCTTTCAACAGGCACTATGTCAGGCAGTGTTTCTGCTGCTATCCGTAAGGTTTTCACTGGCCTCACTAAAAATCCATTGCTGTCAAGTCGATTCCAACTCATAGATACCCCATAGCGTTTCCCAGGCTGTAAATCTCTATGGAAGCAGACTGCCACATCTTTCTCCTGTGGAACTGCTGGTGGTTTCAAACCACCGACCTTCCAGTTAGCAGTCAATTGCTTTAACCACTGTACCTCCAGGGCTCCTCATTCTTCTTCAAGAAAAAATAATACAGAAATGCACACAGTAAATGGATTTTACCCTCTTCCCTTACTCTCTTTATTTCCCACTCCCCAGGAGTAACTACTGTCAACAATTCATCAAGTGTCCTTCTAGACCTTTTGTGTGTGTGGTAAATATTTACGTAACAAAACATTTATCATTTCAACAATCTTCACATGTACAATTCAGTGACATTATGTTCCTCATATTGTGTAATCATTACCCTTAACAATTCTCAAATTTTCCTATCACCCTTGACAGAAACTTCTAGAACTTTTAGTACACATATATACCTATGTGATATGTAAGTTTCTTTTTAGTTTTCTACTTTTTACCAAAAAAAGACATATGCTTGGGAACTTGCTGTGATGGTTAAGACTGTGTGTCAACTTGGCAGGGCCATGATTCTCAGTGTTTATATGTGAACACTCTCATGACTGAATCTGCTGTGAATAGCCAATCAGTTGAAAGAGAGTTTCCTTGGGGATATTGCCTGCATCCGAATATAAGTGGACGTTCTGGCTTTTTGCTCACTCTGTATCCTGCGGCTGCCTCCTGTTCATCTGACTTTCGGTTGGGACTTGAGCTATCAGCTTATCTGCCGATCTTGGGAGTTGTCGATCTTTACAGCCTTTGAGCGGAGCCCTGCTTTCCGATCTGCCAATCTTGGGTTCTCCAGCCCCTGCGGCTACGTGAACTGGGAGAAGCCTCTATCCTAATCCACAGACTTGGGACATTCCAGCCTCTACAATCACGTGAGCTGTTTCTTTGACATAAATCTCTCTATATATATATTTATACGCTTTACTAGTTTTACTTCTCTAGAGAACCCAGCCTAAGACACTTGCTTTTTTTTTTTTTTCTTTTGCAAAAGCATCGTGGATATATTTTGGATAGATCTATTGCATTATTTTTCTATCTTTTCCAACAAAAACAAGTTTGGTTTATTGGAAAAGTTTCACTAAATAAGTCCACAAAGGTAACAAACTCAGGAAAAAGCTCATTTGGACAGAAAGCCCAGTGTCTCGAGTCAGTGTAAAATGTCCACTTAACAATTGCCAAGAAACCCCTAAGATTTCAACTTATTTTATTTTTAATGTATATATTTAAATAACATGATGAAAAAATCTAATTCAGAAAAAAATTTAGTGTGGAAAAGTTACTCAAACTAGAAACAAAATCATTTAAACAGTTCAGAGACCCAGTCTATACCATAAAAGGAAAATCAATAAAGCCAGTCTGTGCTAAAGTTTTCTGTAAGGGGAAAAGCCTCAAACTTATTAACATAAACTAATAAAAAACTAAGTGCTCCGTTTGGCTGCCCTGCTCCTCTGGGTGATGTCTTCTCTCCATAGTGCTTTAGATGCCCGCTTCTCAGTTATTCAGAAGCTTCTTCATTCTAGCCTCCCTTGTCTTCCTCTAAATATTCATGATCAAAGAATAAGTAGGCCAAGTGGATAACTTTCTTTAAAAAGGGTACAGAATTCCTGCCCTATTCATCTCAACCTTTCAAACACTTTTAGCTTGAGCTTACCTCATTTTGCAGCTTTAGGGCCCAACAAAAAACACCCATGAGGGAGCAGGCAGAATCTCACCAACCTTCTTAGATGTCCTCTTGTGTCTCAAGCTGGGTGAAGGGCTAGAAATGCACATTCAAGGAACAGGAAGAGCTCCCATAAATTAAGAGTTCTAGCTTCCTTCTCCATCTTCAGAGTGCTGCAGAGATCCCAAACAAAGCCAATTAGGCAAAATTTATTTAGAACTTTGAGTTCTTTTCTGCACCAAAAATTAACATTTTAAATTATTATGTAAATTGTAAATCTGTCAGCTTTATCCTTTATGGTTTTGTGTTTTCAGTCTTGCTTGGAAAGAACTTTCCTAATTCCAAGATTAAATAAATAAAGTATTCTTTTATTTCTCTCTAGAACTTTCATATGTTTTAGCTCCTTAATCCATCTGGGATCTTTTCCTAAACTGATGGATCAATTATCCCTCTACTAGTGTGTTAGTTATCTAATGCTGCTATAACAGAAGTACCACAAGTGGATGGCTTTACCAAACAGAAATTTATTCTCTCACAGTTTAGGAGGCTAGAAGTCTGAATTCAGGGCGCCAGCTCCAGGGGAAGGCTTTCTCTCTCTCTGTCAGCTCTGGGGAAAGGTCCTTGTCATCAATTGTCCCCTGGTCTAGAAGATTCTCAGTGCAGGGACCCCAGGTCCAAAGGACTTGGGCTATTCCTGGCTCTTCTTTCTTGGAGGTACTGAGGTCCCTCTCCTTTCTGCTTGCTTCTGTCTTTTGTATTTCAAAAGAGATTGACTCAAGATACAACTTAATCCTGTAGACTGTGTCCTGCCTCATTAACATAACTGCCTCTAATTCTGCCTCATTAACATCACAGAGGTTAGGATTTACAATACATAGGATAATTACATCCAATCACAAAATGGAGGACAATCACACAATACTAGGATTCATGGCCTTTGCCAAGTTGACACATACTTTGGGGGGACATAATTCAATCCATAACAACTACCATTTCACCACTTATTTGAAGTGCCCCTTTTAACAAGTAAATATTCTTTACCTCCCATGGCTATTTCCAATTTTATTCTGTTCCACTGATTTATTTCACTGATTCTATATCAGCACCACATTGTTTTTATTACTATATGTCCAGGGTATGTTTTGATATCTAAAAAGACATCCTCTCAACATCACACCCCCAAGCAGCACAGGCACAGCCCACTGGAACCTGGCCTGCACTGATTCCCAGCTTACCCGGTCAGCCCTAGTACGTGCCACAAACAACCCATCCTAGCAACTCCCCTTCAGCTGGACCTTCCCTGCTGCACTATAGCTGAGCAACTGACCCTGCCCATTGGACAAGGAGGTGAAGAGTATCATGCTCACAAACAACAAAGAACGTATAGCCTACCTGCTCAGATGTAATCAAATAAAACAAAAAAACAGGATGAAAGAAACTAATCTATAATCAATAAACAAGGAAAATAACTACTGAATGTTCCAATGACAGCAGACAATATCAAAACATAAAAAAAAGGACAAGATGGTTCCAGTAGGCATCCAAAATAAAACACGAGAGGACTTTCCAGTAGAAGAAAAGGCACAAGAACTACCTGATAGGGAATTCAAATCTCTAACATTCAGAGCTATCCAGAAGTTGAAGCAAAAAGCATACAAAAATGAAGAAAAAATAGACAAATTCATGGAAAAGACAGACAAACTCATGGAAAAGACAGACAAAAAAATAGAAGAATTCAGGAAAATAATACAGGAACAAAATGTGAAAATAAATTCACAACTAGAAATCATACAAAAACAACAATTAGAAATCCAAAAGATAAACAACAAGATTTCAGAATGGACAGCATCATAGAAGGGCTGAGAAGCTGGTTTGACATGATGGAAGACAGGATCATTGAAAATCAAGACAAACACTTGGGTATAACTCTGAGGAAAAATCAGAAAAAAGAATGAAGAAAAATGAAGAAACCATGAGAATTATGTGGGATACAATCAAAAGCAAAAATTTGCGAGTGATATGAGTTCCAGAGCAAGGGGAGAAAACAGAAAACACAGAGAGGATCATTGAAGAACTGCTGACAGAAAACTTCCCCAATATCATGAAGGATGAAAAGCTGACCATCCAAGAAGCTCGACGAACCCCATATAGGACAGACTCCGAAAGAAAATCACCAAGGCGTATCATAATCACACTCGCTAAAACCAAAGACAAACAAAGAATCCTGAGAGCAGCTCAGGAAAAACGAAAAGTCACATACAGAGGAGAAACAATAAGACTAAACTCGGATTATTCGGCAGAAACCATGCAGGCTAGAAGGCAATGGGATGACATATATAAAACCTTGAAAGAAAAAAAATTACCAGCCAAGTATACTATATCATGCAAAACTCTCATTCAAATATGATGGTGAAATTAGGACATTTCCAGATAAACAGAAATTAAGGAGCTATGTAAAAACCAAACCAAACTTACAAGAATTATTAAAGGGAGCCCTTGATAAAAACTAAATAAATAAATAAAAATAAAAAGGCATCCTCTCAATTTTTATTTTCCGAATTTTTCTTGGTTAATATTATATTTCATTAGTTTTGCAACCTAGAGCAAGTTATATAAGTCTGAGTGTTTTATCATTTGAAAAGGTTAAGACTGTGAGCTCTATAGTCGCATTGCCTAAGTATCAGTAAGAGTTCACCCAGGAAAACAGGAAGTGTTCTAGGTCTTCCAAGCAAAGAGAATTTAATACAGAGTATTGTAACACTGGAGATGGAAGTACTAAGAAGACTAATGCAAGCACAGGAAGCTACTGTACAGGGGATTCAATGAGAAGAGGTAGTATTGCTAAAGCCCAGACTGAGGGCCATCTGGTGACATCTAGAACTCTATGGAGGCTGCCTGATGGGAGCTAGGAGCATGAAAGGAGGGGCTGTAGAACAGATACTGGATCCATGTAAGAGATAATAGTTGTTGCCAGACATACCACAGGAAGCTAAGACAGAGATGGGGAGAAATATTCTGACTTCTTACCTCTTCCTCCTTCTCTCCAAGCTTCCTGTAAGCTTCCCATTGGCTGAGCCAACCTGGAAGCCAGAGAGCAAGAGAGCCTAAAAATATAATTCTTTGTGATACAGCACAGAGGTTAGGAAAGTCAGGGAATTAATCTGAAGTAAGCAAGCAATTGACCATAACCACATACTAGCTGTGTGACCTTGGAGAAGATATTTAACCACAGTTTGCCTCAGTTTCCTCCTCCATAAAGTAGGGATAATAATAGTACATACCTCACAGGGCTATAAAAAAAACAAAAACAAAAAACCAAAAAAAACAAAAAACCTGTTGCCATCAAGTTAATTCCCACTCGTAGTGACCCTATAGGACAGAGTAGAACTGCCCCACAGGGTTTCCAAGGAGCCCCTGGTGGATTTGAACTGCCAACCTTTTGGTTAGCAGCCATAGCTCTTAACCACTGCACCACCAGGGAAGATTAAATGTATTTATACATTTTAAACACTTTCTAAGTGTTTAATAAGTATTATTTGTTATTATTATCTGTAAAATGAAGACAATAACACCTATCTTGCAGAGTTACAGTCAACAATTAAGTGAAAGAATGTCTGGAAAATGTTTGGCATGCTGTTGTGTACATTCCACTGGGTGCTAAGTGTTAGCTCTCCTTGTAGCCCCAATGCCTCACACTTAGTACTTGTAGCACCAATGTCTCACACTTAGTACATGCTCAATAATGTCTGTAGCTGATAATAATGATGGTCTCAACCTTGGGATGAGACAATCTCTTGAGAGACAGCAGGGACATTCTTTCTCTGCCAGATAGCTAGGATTGGAGGGGTGGGACTTCAGGGGGCCTGGGCAGTGTACGGTCCTACATCAATCAATACACTCACGCAGGGAGATATATTTGGAATGACAACCTGCATCCTTTTCTGGGGTTTCTTTTCTTGCTCCCATTAGTGTCCCTTCTTTGATTTTAGGCTGTTCTTTTTATCAGCATGGTAACTGTGAGTTTCTGTGTTAACATACATTGTGTAAACATTCATGAATGTATAACCCACTATGTGTATAAACCACCTTACTGCTTATAGACGCTGCCCATCTGATCCTCTCAACAACCCCTCTGTCTTAGTTATCTGGTACTGCTATAACAGAAATACCACAAGTGGATGGCTTTAACAAACAGAAATTTACTCTCTCACTGTTCAGAAGGGTAGAAGTCCGAATTCAGGGTGCCAGCTCCAGGGAAAGGCTTTCTGTCTCTGTCAGCTCTGGGGGAAGGTCCTTGTCATCAATCTTCCCCTGGGTCTAGGAGTTTCTCAGAACAGGGACCCTGGGTCCAAAGAATGCACTCTGCTCCTGGCTCTTCTTTCTTGATGGTAGGAGGTCCCTCCTCTCTGCTCACTTCTCTCTCCTGTTAAGATAAAAGGTGATGCAGGCCACACCCCGGGAAACTCTCCTTACATTGGATCAGGGCTGTGACCTGAGTAAGGGTGTTGCATCCCACCCTAATCCTCTTAAAATAACCTAATCTTGCCTCATTAACCACAGGCAGAGATTAGGATTTACAACACATAAAACAATTACATCAGATCACAAAATGGAGGACAACCACACAATACTGGGAATCATGGCCTAACCAAGTTGACACATATTTTGGGGGTGCACAATTCAATCTATGACACCCTCTAATGCAGACAAGGCAAATATCACTATCTCTGCTGAGCAGCAATGGAAATCAAGACTTTGAGAAGACAAGTGGCAGACACAAAGGCCCATAGGGAATAGGTTGAGTAGCTGGGCACTGGAATGAGACCATCTTACTCTAGTTCAGAACTCTTCCTATTAATACCCCAGGCTGCCTCCTACAAGCATGTGTGAGTTAATGCACAAAAACACACAATAGATTCAATCTCCCTGAAGGGAGGCTTTGTGCCTTACCAACCTTAGTATTCCCTGTAAAGAGTAACAGTATTCCCTGGCAGCTAGTAGATAATAAATGATCATGTTGCTGAGTTGACTCTGCTCCTGAACTGGACTCCCTTGGAGGAGGAAAGGGGGCACACAGATGAGAACCACAGCCAGAGCCAGAGTCCAAGTCCAGCTTAGCTGAACTCTGACAGTACTCTGGCCCTCACTTCTGGCTCTACCCAGGGCCCTCCCGGGCTATCCACAGACCAGAGGAACTTGGTCACCCAGACAGGGGGTGGGAGCACTGGCAGGCAGAAGTTTGTTCTCAGACTACAGTGCTAATCAACCAACTGCCCCAGCTGCCTACCCAGGGCCTGGCATCCACAACGGCCCCTGGCAAGCTTGACAGAGCAAAGGCCTTCACATGCATGGGCATGGAACACTGACAGGAAGTACGGGACATGAGAAATTGGAAGCTTGGGCTAATAAAATGGATCACCATGAGGGCATCACTGTTTGTCAGGCACTTTTACATAAATATATTTGCTTCTACCCTTCACTCAGCCAAGGCTTGGGCACTCAGCTCTGTTCACTGGCTTCAGCTGTGCACTCACTCTGATATTTTTGGTTTGGCCTTATATCTGTGCTCTATCTCTTTGTCTTCAAATGGGAGGCCACCGTGTCCTGTTGGCCCAATGGACTTGTGGAGCAGTGGAGCGGGGGCGGGTCTAGCACAAATGGCGTGGGCAGCTGCCCACACCAGTGCTCTGCGGTTCCAAGAGCCCTGCTGAAAGACTGGCTGCCCCATTCTTCCCGCTGTCCACAGAGGTCCCAGCACCCTTGAGAGTCAACAGGAACAGGCTGGGTCATAAAATAGACTCTGGGCAGCAAGTGGGAAGAATAACAGCCAAAGGCCTCACCATGGCCTACAAGACCCCACACCACCTGCCGTTACCCCTCAGACCTCATTTCCTCTTACTCTCCCCTCACAGCACTCTCCACTGTTCTGGGACACGCCAAGCCCACCACCGCAGGGCCTTGCACCACTCCTCACCCAGACAGCTGCATGCTCTCCTCTGCTTCCTGTTCAGTGCTTTGCTCTGATGTCGTTTCTCACTGATGCCTTCTTGGGTTACCCTCCCTACAACTCCTATCATTCCCTACCCCTACCCTCCGGCTTTTCCATTGACACCTCGTTGTCTACCTTACTTACCTCGTTGAGGGTCAGTCTCCTCACTCTGCATATTTATGTTTGCTCACTACTGTATTTCTGGCACTGTAATGGTGCCTGGCACATAGTATGTACTCAGTAATGTTTATTAAACATGTGAAGCATGAATGCGGCTGGATTGTGAGCTGAGGGGATCCTTGCCATGGATGACACCAGGCAGGCAGGTGGCTTGGGTCAGTTCATCTGTTTAATGAGGAAGGCACATGAATTGCTGTGTAAGCTGCCTTCCAGTTGTAATAATTGATGAGTCCAGGCAATATCCACTTACTACCCCTAGAGGCCCAAGCAGAAGATAGCAAGGGAAAGGAGTCAGGAAGCAGCTGCCAGGATGACTAACTGGGATCTCAAGCCATCAGCCCCAAGTGCCAACTCTTACAGGCCTCAGCAAGGCTCAGGATTATTAGCTCGTGAAACCCAGGTGGCCTCCTGGCCTGCCCTGCTTCTGATTAACCGTGAAGTGCACTTGAAAAACCAACTCCATCTTGCAGGGGTGATACTGAGGCCTGGAGCAGGAATAAAGATGTGCTGGACTTCGTACAGAAACAGCAAAACTAGATTCAATCCAGCACTCACTCAACGAATACTTGCTGAGGACCTCCTCTGTGCCAGGCACTGTTCTAGGCAGAAATGGAGCAGTAAGCAAGACAAGCAAGGTCCTGGTTTGACCTGAGCATTTACGTGTGAGTCCTGATAAGCCACCCCTTCCCAAGGCCTCGAGCTGCTTCCCCTTTCACCTCCTCCTCTCTTAAATTCCCCTGGTCTACTGGCTACATCTAAATGCACAGACCTCCATCTCAAAACAGAACAACAAGGGCAAGCTGCATACCCCGGCTAGGCCAACAAGACTACAGCACTGCTTTCCCCATATCCCCTCCTTCTGCATCCCAGTAACATCAACTTTGTTCTTCTGTCTAACTATCAGGAAACTCCAGAGCTCTCCTCTCCACTACTTTCCTATCTTTGGTCCTGCTGTTGTTGTTAGGTGCCATCAAATTGGCTCTGACTACTATTGACCTATTCCCCAACAAATTCACCTTCTGTGCCTGCTAAGCCAATTGCCTCAGTGGCCCTCAAATTGATCGTTGTGTTGTTAGCTGCCACCGAGTTGGCCCCCAATTCATGGCAACCCCATGCACAACGGAACAAAAGTCTGCCCTGTCCTGCGCCATCCCCATGATCAGTTGTGGATGGGACCATTCTGATCTATAGAGTTTTCATTGGTGATTTTCAAAAGTAGATTGCCAAGTCTTTCTTCCTAGCGTGTTTTAGTCTGGAAGCTCCAAGGAAACCTGTTCAGCACCATAGCAACACGCAGGTGGTGGCTGCACATGAGTGCATTGGCTGGGAAAAATTAATTTGTATGTCCCCTTTACTTAGAACCTTCATGCCTTTGTCCAACTATCCCTACCTGAATCATCTCTCCCCTCCCTTCCCCTTTGCCTCTTCAAATCTTCTCATCAAGGCTAAATTAATTCTCCCATCTTCAAGGGGTGGTAGCCTTCTCCCCCAGTGCTTGATGAACTCTCCACCACCTCAAATGACTACTTAACATAAGTGCATCGTATGTGAGTGCACTGTAATGTGTACTACACAACTTTCTATGTAATTATTTGTTGTCCTAGGTTGTTTCATGTATGTGTATTTTATCTCCCCATGAGGCGTATCTCCTTGAGGGCAGGAGTCAACTCTTCTATTTCTGTATCCTTCACAGTTTTAGCCCAGCGCCCACTCCGGTAAATAATCAGTGATGGATTCAACCTGAATTTACCAAATTGTGGTATTTAAGAAGAATACATTAGGGGAAAATGTGTACTTGCATAAAGAAATACTAAGAGAAATATGTAGAATGCAAGGTGATTTGTATGGTCTGATTACCACGATGTAAACTATGCATTCATACAGGTAAAACTTGGAGGCAGCTGGTAAAAA